GGCTGGCTAGCAAACGAAGCCACGCCAAGTGAACGCAGTAGACGCAACGCAGCGGAGACACAGCAGTGAAGTGATGCAAACCAGATGCGTGCGTCATTGCCACGCGTAGCCAAGAGGGCAAACCAAGCGCACGCACAAACAGCATTTATATACATAGTACATATGTATAAATGTATGTATGCGGACATAGTCGTGGACTCGTATGCGCACTATCCACGCTAGATCTATGGCCCTGTTCGTGTTGGCGCCGGGTACCGAAGAAGATAGAATGACGAACTGTACGAGCTTTTTCACGACACAAGACACAGCTGGGCATATTGTAAGCATGGATGATGACGCTGCGGTAAAAAAAAAATCCTCCCAGTTTGCTCTAATTGGTGGAGAAGAAAAGAAAGGGCGACCATGAACACAATTGAATCCGATCAGAAGGAACACTACAAGTATTGTGTGATGGAATTTAACACATTCTCATTTATCTTACTAACACTTTCGCAAATTTTGCGTTGGTTAAAAAGAGACCATTAAATAAGACCATAAGTTGAAAGAAGATAAAAAATCACATGTATACAGGATTTTCATCATTTTTTGCACATTGGCCTTAAAAACGTGATGGGAGTGTTTAATGGACATTTCCATCACCACTATGTATCACATGATCAATCAAATGACTATCACTGTTCTTGTAGGGAACTGCCTCACTCGGCATGTACAACTGGCGCAACCTTGCACAGGAAAGAGGCGGTTGGCAAGGTTTTTTGGTCTCAGCCCAAACTGATGAGCCGAGCCGTAGAGCTAAATTAGAAGAAGAAGAAGAATTCAATACGGAAACTTATTTCTATATTTCCCTTTATTTTGTATTCTAACGGTTGCTCTTTTAATTGACACTTATTAAGGCCAGTCAGCCATTGTTGTTGTATGTAAATTAATTGATTAGCACACACATTTTCTTCTTTTTTTTGCAGTTGCCATTTGCCGCTTTGCTCAACCGAAGTGAGATGTAAATTAAATTTTTATTTCAATCGAAAACAAAAAAAAAAATTTGGCTTGCTAGTGGCGGCATGAAGCAATTAGGCACACAAATACATAAAAAGTGCACACTCTCCAAAAAAAAAAACTATTATTTTGAATGTCTCGCTTGCCGTGTGGGCATTTAATTACATTTAAGCCTGCATTTGTGTAGGTAGAGTAATCAATTGTGAACAAAAGTCGTGTAAAGCAACATTTGAAAGTTGTCGCTTTTCACATTCACTGGAAGCGCTGATGGCTGTTGTCCAATGGTGGTCCGTGCCGCTGCTGGCCAATGCTTCTGTCGCTGGAGAGAGCAAACGCAGTCACAAAAGCAATAAATAGTAGCAAAAAGCGCAAAGCAAAAAAAAAAAGGTAAAATGGCAAAAGTTTCTACTTTTGCTGCCTCAGGCGAAAATTGCAATAAATATTTTCCAAATTTGATATTTTAATAAATACTTTAGAATTTACATATATACATCTACATACATACATATTTTTTTAATTGACAAAAGCTACGTTAATCGTTTGACAGCCAGTTGGAATGCTGAAGTGGAAAGCCTTTAAAATACCGCAAAAATTACTCACTGAAGTTGAAAAGGCACACATATGTAAGTGCATTAGGGTAAGCCAAAAAAAAAACGAAGCTAGCGAATTTATGACCTTAATAGGACCTATCTACAGAGAAGAAAATTCTACCATTTGGAAAAAATTTTATTCCAATTTTAAAAAGTAATTTCTGGAGAATTTAAGGACCTACAGGAATATGCCTGGAAAACAATTTTTAGTTCGAACGGTTCAATAGTTATAAAATTGTTAATTAAACAAAAAATCATGGAAAATTTCAAATGGCCACCGACACATTTTAAAATTGGAACACGTATTTTTCCAAATGGTAGAATTTTCTTCTCAGTAAATAGGTCGTTTTAAGGTCATAAGTTCTTTAGGCTACTTTATTTGGCTCATCCTAATGTGTATAATACATATGTACATAAATACATAAATACATACATACGTAAGCAATTATCATTAGACGAATTAATATTTCGATTTAAAAATAACCTTTATCAGCAAAATTGGTTTATGGGAACCAAACCAAAATAACAAAATTATAAGATTTAGAAATCTCGACTTAATTGTAGGGGGTATTCCATGAGTAAGTGAACCTTATGAACAATTATGAAGTTACTTATTAAGCATGTACGGCTGGATAAGTCAGTACTAAATTGTGGTAACTGAGAAGAAAAAATCTTGCTATATTAATTTAATGTATCAAGAATGCATTAAACAGTAAAAAAGCGAATTAAATATGATTACAATATACTATATTTTAATATAGAAGGCACCGCAAAATCAAGTTTTCTTCAAGTAATGATTATATGTCCCCATCATCTTTCGTTCCAAGGTATTACCAATACATTACCAAAAATTAATCCGTGGCAAAAAACTTGAAACCTTCTACTACTTTGGAATTTTTTCTAAAACGTCATAGCTAGTTTATATTTTCACGCCGTAAAAAAAAGGAGCTTATCAATTCGTCGTAATATTTGTTTATGTACACTTGTGATCAGCTAATTAAGTCATCAGCATTTTGATAAATTTTGGCTATTTTTCTTTTTTGTTTATTTAATTTTATTATTTTTCCATAAAAGTTTAGCTCATTATTTAACAAACACCACATTTCAAACTTTGTGCAAAAATTATATAAAATCGTGAAAGTTTCAGCTAAATTTTAAACTTTTATTCAGATTTTTTTGAATTTTTTTTTGCTATGCAGTTTAATGATATGATAATGATAGATTGGCGCTTACACATATGTTAGTGTTTGGCCGAGCTTCTCCTCCGATTTGTGGCGTGCGCCTTGATGTTGTCACACAAAGCGGAGGGACCTACAGTTTTACGCCGACTCCGAACGGCGATTGTATTTTTATGCAGTTTAATAGCTCATTAAAATTCTAGGGTAATAATGTGCAAGTTTTTAGTTGTTAAAGAATCGCGTTGATTTTTAATAATTTTTTTCTGGCTGCATGACGCATTTTTTTCCATACAAAAAATGTCGAATATAAGAAGGAAATTATTAAAAATAAACGCTATTTTTTAGCTATTTAAAACTTACACATTATATTATGAAATTTATTGGGCTATCAAACTGCATACTCAGAAAAATAAAAACCAATAAAAAGTTGAAAATTTAGCTCACTCTTGCAGATTTTTTATAATTTTTGCACAAAATTTGAAATGTGGATTTATATGCTGCTTGTTATATAATGAGCTAGACTAGGAAAAATAATACACATTAAATAAATAAAAGGAAAATAGCCAAACATTTTCATAATGTTGATGACTTAATCAGCTGTTCACAAGTTTATGTTACCGGTTAGCTTTGGACCACGTGAACCGTTTTCCATAATTCTTTTTTTTTGTACCCCAAGGGTGGTTCCATACATATTTGATTCACTTCCGATCATCGAATTATGCAGAAATCAACGATTTTTCTTAAATTTTTATATCCAGCATTACTAACACTTTTTTACAACTCGTCATGGTTAGCCATGTTGCCAGTGGCTGCTGTTGAGCTATGAGATGTAACAAAAGATTTTAGTTAGACTTCAAATCGGCCCCTTCCCCCCCCCTACAGCTTCAAAACGAAGGAGAAATTTTCAAACATCAATAAATAAATAATTTAAATTATATGCGTAATCGAATTCGAATTCACGGTTCCAGAAATAAGATATACTATTTCTACCCTAAAAGATGTGATAAACTTTCTTCGCGAATCAATGACACGCATGAATTATGCTCCTGATATACCACGTTTGTGTGAAACAAGATGATCGGAAAATATATGGCTATCAGGAAATTTTCACAAAATTTTCATGCAGTTATAGAAGCTTTAGAAAAATTGCCAATTCAGGGAAACTTTACCACAAGAAAGCCTGCGTATCAATTGTGTGTTGCTATAACAAGGTCGATATTCATCATTGCTTTAACCCTTTCCTCCCCGAACTTTTTGACGTAGGGGAAAATATTTTGAATTTTAGTTAAAATATTCTTAAAAGTTTTAAGGTATTTTTATGATTCGACATCAAATGAATATACTACATATATTTCTAATAATTATTCCTTTTTACCCACTGCTACTACTAGCCATGGTCCCAAATTAGGAAAATAAAGGTTAGTATCCATATGGCTACCATGGGCAGGAAAGGGTTAATGACAATTGCTAAATATTCAATGAAGCTGGAACCTACAGCAAACAGTTTGCATTTTTATTTAGTTGGTAGCCGCTGTGACTGAGTGGTTAGAGGTGCGTACAACCAATACGTAGAACTTCGGTTTAATTGGCGCAACGACTAAATTAGACAAGGCCTTTTTTAACACCGGTCGGTCGCCGCTCGACAGTCAATGGCAAACCTCGGAGGGTATTTCTGGTGTGAAAAAGCTGCTCATAGAAACCATTTGTCATTTGGAAGCGGCGTAAAATTGTAGATGCCTCCTCCATTTTCGTTATAGCATCAGAACGCACACCACAAATGGGAGGAGAAGCTCGGAAAAACGCTTAGGGGTATTCTCGCAGTATCGCACCGCCCTTGCACGGTGCACGGATTGCACGGTTTGCAAAGCTTTCCCATAGGAAGACCGGTTTTTACCGTGCAATCCATGCAATCCGCGCACCATGCAAGGGCTCTTCAAAACTCCAAGAATACCCCTATTATTTTTCTATTTTGCTTTGTGCAAAACTTTTTTGTTTCAAACAGTGGAACGCTAGAGTGGCCCATCCATCAATTTTGGCAACGCGTTTAATCAATTGGGTTAGCGAAACTGGAAGACCGTTGGCACAGAAATTAGTACCAGCAGAAGTTATAAATCTCAACCAGCCAATGCGGATTTAAGAAGTCTACCTTAAAGCTAATGGCCTTATCTGATAGCGCATTGCAACTACATATTTTGAAAAAGTAATTGGTTTTGAAAACCGCTTCAATGAACTCATTTACCCAATAAATTAAATGCAACCAGACAAGTTTTAAAATCATAACACAACCACATCAGCAGAGCGCAACGCAAAATTTCACCTTTATATATATATTTTTTTTTTTCAAGTTTAGTTAAGCTCGAACTCTTTTTTTTTCGCTCGTTTGTCTTTAAATGTATTACTCCGGAGATGTTTTCACTTTTTCACATTTTTGTCACTTTATCGCTATACATCGCGTTTTCGCTTGAAAAATTACGTATGCTACTCCTCTTCTGCTTGCCGCGATCACTTTTATGTAAACATTTTTCGAAATCTTTGCCAGTTCCACTGTCACAAATGCGATAATGCCACAACAGGGTCACTTTAGGCTTTCGAAATGAAAACCGCAGCAAAAACAGTAAAGCCATAAAACAGAAACGGCATCAGAATATAGCGAAGGCGAAAACGAATACGAAATTCGGTCAACTCTTCTGCGCCCGCCTTGGCATTGACGGACAGACAATTGCCGAAATGTCAAAAAGTATACGTTCGATTTCGTATTTGCAAATGCTTGCACGATCCGCGGCACAGCAAACTAGCCAGACGAAACTAAGGAAAGTGTGAAGACTAAAAACACGGTTGAGCCGCCGTCGAATGGGCGTCGTCAGGCGCTGATTTTAGCCACACGAATGCCTTGCTGGTAGAAATACAACTGACGACAACGCGAGCGTTCCACTACGACAAAACTGAATTAATTGAAGCTGAGTGGAGCGTCGAGTCATTGTGGAAGCGCATGACTTCAGCGCGGAGCGATGCGACGCTGAGCGAACCAAAGTGGAGCTGCGTTGTCGGCGTTGCGCGGCCGATTGGTATAAAGGTGCGGGCGCGCAGCGTCAAAAATAGCAGAGCAAGCGAGCGGCGGTGATAATAGCGTTAAAATAATACATTTTCAGCAGCGAACTTTATCAGCGCGCGGCCGGTGAGACGGCAGCAGCCACAACAGATCACTTATCGAACAAATTGCTCAGCGCAAAAACTACATACTGGAAACGCGCGAGCACTTTAACACTCTTACAGCATTGAGAGATGTGCGCTTGGGGAGCTTTTAAGCGCGCACGTACTCCGATAGTTGACGAAGCGATAACAATCTGCGGCGCGCTAATAATTTGTTGCTAAAATGATGGCGCGCAAGGTGGTGCGCTGCGGGTCGGTGCATTACTGCCGCAGCAAGCGTACAGGAAACTTGTGCTATTGTGAGCGAAATGAGGGCGCGCAGCACTGGCTGGGGTAAGGGGCGCCGAAGCGCCAATAATGCGGGCAACAAGCCGGCCCTTTGCAGTGCGGTTTAACTGCCGCCGCGCTATTGTTTGCATTTGATTTTACTTTATTGCTTTTTTTTAGTTATATCAGCAATATTGAATTAATTAAATGCCTAAAGCCAAGGTGGCGCGCCGATTTCATGTGCAGCGCAGTCGAGCGCGCTCAATTGTGTTACACTTTGCTTGTAGTGAAAATGGCATTTTCACGTAACAGTTTATGTTTTTTATTTTGGTTTACGGCTGATTTTGGGTTGTTTTTTGGTTGTTTTTTTTTAATAAATTCGAATCATTTAGCTTTTAACACGCTTTGTTTGCGGGCTACGCGCGTTTACCTGTTTTTGCTCAACTGTTTGTTTATTTCTTTGGCATTGTAGTGCGATTTGTTATTTAAAATTGGATTTAACATTTGATTGAAAACTGCTCAAAAAATTTATTTTTAGCCATTAGTTAGAAAAATAAATGCACGCGTATTCGAGGACGTTAATTAACAACGCAATTAATGCTTTCAGAAATAAACTTTAGGGAGACAGCAAATGTGATTTTAGCACTTTTTATATGACGCGAAAGCGTAAATATGTACTTGAATTTAGAAAACAGGCAGATTAAAAAAAGAATAAAAATAAGTAACAAAAAAGATTAATTTCTACCTTTTTCGAATTTTTATTTTTTGTATTTTTTTTCAGTGTACGCGACATTTTAAGCGCATAAACCGCTTACCGCGGAAAATTAAAACCTTCTGCGTTTTTTTACACGCTCACAATGTTTTTTTTACGCTTCATTACCGCAATTGTTAGGCTTAAATATGCGCTGCCATAAAATATCAAATTAATTTGCTGAGTTACACAAATAGAACTGCGGAAAAAGTGTACTTGGTTATGTATTATTGTTATTACATATCTAAATTGTACAACAACCGTGCGAAATACAAGCTCACTAAAAATAGCAAACAACAGCGAAAGGAAGCAAGCCAAGAAAGCACAGAGCTGAAAAATAGTTAATGATTTTTATGAAAGCATACAATTATCGCAGCTCAGTGTTGAGAAAGTTATAGAATCGGCTATAAAGCCAATGTTGGGCGAAGGCAAGTCACCGTCAAAAATTTAATGCAGTAAATCGTATGAAAATATTTATCAGTTCGAAAGCCATGACGTGATGTGGAATATTGTTTCTTTTATTTGGGTTTTGTTGTTGTTGTTGTTGCTTTAAGCATATATGTATGTATGTTACTTATTTTGGCATTGCCGAACTGCAAAGTCATAATCTCCACAAAACAGCTGTTTTTGTTTAAAATTGGTTACCTTGAGTGGCGTTTTGTTTTCCCAAGTCGCTGATAAATAATTAAGAAATGAATGTCAGCTAAAAAATATTTCAAGAATTCCAAATAAAGCGTCTAAAAAGTAAGGCAGCAGCAGCTATTAAGACAGCAATAGCGTTGATATGTATTTGTTTGAATGAAAGCTTGTTTACATAAGGGAGAGATAGGAATCAATCAGTCAAGAAAGTGAAGAACGAGTTCAGGTTCGAACTGGGTCATAAGCTATATGTACAAAGTACAAGAAATATTTTGAAAGCCTGAGCAAATCAAAACCAGAAATGGCGAATAAAAGAACAATAGTCATCGAGGCCCGACTTGAAAACGAATTCTGCAGTAAAACTGCCAAAGGGAAGTGCTTTCCTAAACTTTTCCAACGGAGGGTAGAACCAAGCATATGAGAATTTCAACGTAACAATTTGGGCCGAGAGAATGATTAAAGTTCGAGAGAACGGCTTAGTTAAGAGAAAGTCCCACGACTACCGATGCTACCTTCGGCTCAAGCTCAGAAAATACAAATGAAAACGGGCAACGCTTAAGACGTCGGACTGTGGGGAGACGTCCGGAGACGGAAACTTAAACCCGTTCTGGAAGAACCTCGTTTGCAATAGAAGCAAATCATGAACATAACCACGATCCAAGCTAAGAGCATTGCGTTTACAATTGCAGTATGGCTTTATGCCTCGGGTCAGTTTGTATTCAGGATGTATGGCCACAGTAATTTAGCGTCCAGAAAAAATTTCGAAAGTTTTATTGGAGCTAGAATAAAGGTTAATTGATCACTGTGGAGGTGGTGATGAGTAGCACGTAAATATTGACGATTCCAAAGTGGACGAAGTAGTAGGAGCTGAGGTTAAGTGCTCTGAACCAAAAACTTCTAAATACTTTAAGATTATGGACCACTTAATTATTTTTCAAGCCAAAATTTAGGCAATAAAGACTTCGTTTTAATATAATGCCTATTCGAAGAACATTTTAGATTCTAAGGGGGTAATAAGAGGGCTAGCCATGATCAAAACCATTCACCTGTATTTGATTCAAGGACACAAAGCTGTTGAAGGTATGTAACTGACGTACTAGACAAAAGGCGCTATTTTCTAGACGTGTTACCAACGGCGGATGTACTGACACCTCTAAAGGAAACCAAACCAAATACGATGGTCATACGATAGAAAACTTAGCGATTTCTTGTGATCAATGAGAAGGACGGTGAAATTTTCGCTACGATTGTTAACGGGGTACTGCTTGTTAGCAACATATACGTTCAATTTACCGATTATGAAAAACTGAAGACGGCTATTTCTGCCTATTTGGCAGTCAGTTAAAAATCGTCCAAATAACCACCAAATCATCAACCTGGCAACACTGGCTGATCTGTACGCCTAAGGTTGCAACTTATAAATACTTTCGAAAACATAATTGTATTCAAATGACTACATACTTGCTTCCATGGAAAAGTGAATTAATAGAATTTAGAAGTTATCCTTAATTCACTCAAATCGCCACCATTCAATAAAGGGGGGTTTCCACCTTAGCGTACAGTCAAGTGGCGAAAAGCAGAACGCTTGAGCAAGTGTTTCAAGAAGCTACAAAAAGTAATTTCCCGCAAAATACGTAGAAACCTATTTAGGTTTTTGAGTGCTCCACTTGTCGCATTCAAGGGAATCCCCTATGCGATTAACTCAGACAACACTATAAGCGTCTTTTCCGCTACAAATTCGTCAAAAGCAGCTCGCCAATTCGTCAAGTGTTTTGGATGTATTTAAAGTAAGAAGCGCTTTGACGATTCTGACCAAAGTGTGCGCACAATGCGTGATCTATGGAGCAAGAATAAAGCAAAAAAGCTAAAGGTCCAGCTGAAATCCCTTAATAGCCAATGTTTTTGAAAGCCTACATGGCATGGCTTTCACTCGGCTGATAGCTGCTCAGAAAAATACTAGGATTAGCATCTTAGCGAGAGATTTGAATCCAAATTATTCAATTTAAGGCATGTGGCTATCCGATCACAGATACGATACTACGTACTAATATATGTATGTAAGTATGTATGTGTCTGCATGTTTATATATACATACATACATAGTACGAGTAAGCGCGTATATTTACTTCCATTTGTGTGCAAATTGATAATAATAAAAAGAGCGCAACAATAAGCATCACAACAACAACAACAACTCCAGCAACAATGCGCAAAACATGCTAACCAGCAAATAAATAAAACACGCCCGTACAGCAAAGCTGCTCTATCTACAATGTTCACCGGCGAATGTGCGCGCTTGAGCGAGGGTGACGGTGGGGATCACTGCGCGGACTGATACGCAGTGACGTCAAACGATTGCCGAAGCATTGGCCATAGCCATAGCTGGAGCTGAATGTTGCCTAGCGGATTTTGCTGCTGACGCTGTTGCCGCGGGCCAAGAGAAAAGTGGCTAATTCGGCGGCTTCAACTTAAGCCCCGCGCGTTTTGTTTCTTTGTTTTTGCAAGCTTAGGTGAATATGCGGCTTTGCTATGACTTTTTTTCGCCCATTTTTTTTTTTTTACTAATTCAGAGCTCGAATTTCACAACACATTTTCATTGTGTTTACTGTCTACAGACAATTAGTGGTTACAGTAAGTTGATGCAAACAAACAACGAAAATGGAAGGAAACAACAAATGCTTGTAAATGCTGACGAAATAAACTTTAGTCACAGAGTCGAATTCCAATTTAATTTAATTACATTTTAATTGCAAGATTATTTCAACATTTATGTACATAAAATGCTGTGTCAGCGTGAAATTAACATTTGAAATTTCTACAAAATAAATATGTATTCACTTGCAATACGCCATTAATGAATTACAACAAAAGTCTTTGTCCTTTAGTCGTCGTCTAGACGCGCAAAAAAAAATAACAGAATTATAATTATGAAATTACAGTTTATTGACAGCCAACGGGCAGTCAGCGTAAAGTGCCCACTCACAGCAAAGCAACCCAGCAATTCCAAAGCCATGGAAGGCGGTGATCATTGTACGTGATGAGAAGTATGCTCAAATTGGCATCTATGTACGTATGTATGTATGTATGTATGTACATTCATATGTGTGTGAGTGAGTCCATAAATATTTATTTGGTTTGTTCATGTCAAGCTTTATGGGCCATTGACGTTTCAGTGACGTCACGCTATGCCACGCCGACATGGAATTTAACCCGTTTCACAACTTTAGACGTCGTCGAGTTTGTTAGCTGACTAATTACCAGCCGATAGGTATCATTGAGATAAAGACATATATATTTTTTGAGATGAGTAATGAGATGCCTAACTAGATGGTGATGACACGGA